CCCCCTCCTACTCCAATCCCTGAGGGAAATTAAAATCCCTGCCCCTCTCCTGTCTTGCCACATTCTCTGGTCCTTCTAGTAGGGTGGTGATGAAATCCAGTGGTTTTAAGGTGTGCCTGTTGAATTCTTTGCTGGAAAGTGATGAGGCAATGAAAACAGTACTGCTGTTCTGGCAAAATACTGAAATACTGCAACAAACCCTTGCTTAAGCAGGCTTAGTGTATTAATGTAGTCTGGCAGTGAAATATGATCAGGATATAAAATTTCTTTTAGTATTTGGGTGTAGGATATTTATATCTGACTTATCATGCCAGCCTAGACAGGAATTACTGTACCTCTTCTGGGAAACAATTTTCTTTGTCCATGTTGCAGCAGCAGTTATGCAAATGATCATACTTTGTGAGAAAGATCTGTAATGTTTATAGTGTGAATAAAAGCTGCTGAGTTGTTGTCCAGGACTTGCACATGTGCTCAGGTCCTTGGAATCTTGTGATGGCAAAACTGAATTGTTTTGTTGTCTTAAAAAACCCCAAACCTCTAGCTGTACAGTTGTGAAGAAAAGCTTGAAACATGAAAGAAGCATGCTATATGCAGCAGTTGTTGACTGCAGCAAACCTGGTACAACTCTGGGAGGAATTAACTGTACCTCTGAATAGGTTAATCGTTATGAACCAAAAGGGAGCCAACAGGATCATTTAGACCAGTGGGAGCCAACTTTTTGGCAGCTATGCCACAATTAGCCCTGCACCCTCCCTGAATGCTACTCCGATCCCTTTCCACTGCCAAATCTACTGCTCTGCTGCCTATGTGCTACTGTTGCCTTCCCCCTCCCTGATTTGCTGCATGTCACACATATAGGCTGTCCATGCTACTTATGGCATGTGCTGCAGGCTGACCAACTGACTTAGTATTGTACCCTGACCTGGGTGATACAAGGCATAGGACTTCCCTGAGCCACAAAATATTTTTTTAAAACATAACTCAGCTTGCTTAAAAAAAAAAATCTTCTAGTGATGAGAGAACCTATCACAGTTATAGGTATGCCATTTCACTGTTTTAATTATCCTTACTGCTTAAAAGCTCATGCTTAATTTCTAGTATGAATTTGTCTAGCTTCCACTTACAGCCATTGGATTTGGTTTTAACTTTATCAGCTAGAAACTTTTTTATGGCATTTCCCTTTCCTGTATTTATGTACTGTGATCAAATATCCCCTTAATTTTTATCTTTCTGGAATTAAATTGATTAAACTCGTTGAGTGTTAAGCAGTAGAGGTTATTTTTCAAGTGCTTTAATAATTCTTGCTGATCTTCTGGGAACCTTCTTCTCATTACCAACCTCCTCCTCAAATGGCAGATGTCAGAACTGAACACAGTGTGGCGGACTTACTGATAACAGCCTGGCATGCCGGGCTTGGGAAAATCTTTATTGTGATTGGTGCAGCATTCTCACCAATCAGACAATGGCTGGGGAGGGGATTACCCCACCCCTACACAGGGCAAGGTGGAGAACCCAGACTCGAGGACTGGACTTTGCAGGTCCGACAGCACTCCAGAGGCAAAGACCCTGGAGAGAATAAAAGAGCAGTGTGCCCAGCCCATGAGCAGATGCATCAAGGGATGGAGATGAGAGTGGGGCTAAGAAGAGCTGCTCAGAGGGTGGATGCTGCTGCCCTGAAAAGCCCCTGTGGACACCTCTCATTGGACAGGACAGGCAGATGGCTTCAACCCCAGTTGGTGCACAGTGCAGAGCATGGAGCAAGACCCTGGGAGCTGTGAGAGACAGCTTGGGTTTCCAGCAACTCGACAGCGCATGGAGCCAGACCCTAGGAGCAAGAGGCTTGGGTTTGCAACCCCTGGTGTGCGGCCAGGGCTCCTGGTACATGGGGCCAGCGAGACTCCAGGAGCCATCCACGGCAGCTTGAGATTCCAACTCCTGGCACGTGGTGGGGAACCCAGTGCAGGAGATGCTGCACAGAGGGTCCAGGAGCTGACCGAGCCCCAGAGCCGCACAAGGCGGTACGGGCCTCCAACCCTGAGCAAAAGCCAAAGCCCCGAAGAGCACATGATGGTACTCAAGGCCCTGAATGGGGAGACGCCCAGAAGCCAGAGGCTCCGGAGGCTTCTCCGAACAAGAAGCCACTCACCTGAAGGGATGAGGAACCCCACCTGGGCATCGGATTTGTGAGTTGCTGGAGAATAGGGCTCCCACAGGGGAGGGGAAGTCCTTCTTGGCTAGAAAGGGGTTCCTGGAGAGAAGGTCTAGGGACGGTCCCTTCTGACTTTGTGGGCTGCCTAGGGGCTTGGTGTGAGGCCCAAGGGGCAATAAGGTCATCCCTCACAGGTCACTAGAGCGTAATCGAGGCCCCAGGAGGGGACCTTGGGGATCCTTTTAATGGTTTAAAGTTACTTGTATGCTTATGTGCCTTATAGTGTGTGATACTATGCCTTATATTTTGTGTACTGTATCCTGTGAATTGTGTGCTTCCATATCAGTAAGGAAACTAGCACTAGAGTGTAAAATCTATATTGAGGTCCTGCTGGGACCCCTCCCCATTACTTACTTGTGTTTACTTGTAACTTACCTGAACCCCAGCTGTGGTCATCCCATTATATAACCATTTACCATATTACAATTGCAACGTTGGCTATTACAACTGCAACCCCTATAATAGTATGTAGAGAAATAAGGTTATTGGTCCTATCTTATCTTAAATATCTGCATCAGTTGCATATTAACAGTTATCCTTTAAGGTTCCCTGTAAATATTAATACATTTGTATATAGTTAAGCTATCTCTTGTTCTGGCATGACTCTATAGGGAATAGAGGGAACCGGCCGGTATTTGCAGATCCCTCTCACAGCAGTGCGGCCTAGCTACCTACCCGTTCTATTTGGAGAGGGGACCACATACTTGGGTGTGCCCAGGTTACACAATATTCTGGCAACATTGAAAGACAAAGTTGAACATGGGAGAACATGAAACATGATGCATACAGGGACCACCAAAATAATTTCAGCAAAGTGTGCGTGTGTGTGTGTGTGTGTCTATGTGGAGCCCTCACTGATACTGCTACTCAGTGGCACTGCAAGAGCAGCAATGGCAGCCTAGTCCCTAGAGTCCTGTTTTTGCTTAAGGTAGTAGCTGTCCTACCTTCTCTGAGATGGGTCCCACCCAGCACCGTACATACCTAGACTCGTGGCGGCCCCAGGCCAACTTTTAGTATCAGGGCTTGCCTTTGCCACAGATAATTATGATAACAATACTTTTTTAAAACCATTTTCAGGCCCCCTTTCTGTCTGGGCCCCAGGCAGCTGCCCGGTTTGCCCATACCTGTGTCTGGCCCTGGCCCCACCTGCATGAAAGATGGGGAGCAAGCTGCCCCAGGAAGGTGGATTGCTGTGTAGACAGCCTCAACACCACAAGTTGCAGCAGAGCCTATTATGGAGGTATGCATGGCCAAATAAGGCTGTACCTAGGGCCTACAGCCTTAGCAGGTTGGTGCCCAATCCTCTATTGTTACAGCCTTGCCATTGGCTGGTGCATGGCTTCCCTGCTACCCAACTCTTAGGTCTGTGCTTCTGTGACCCTTCAAGGACTGGACTCCAGCCTGTGGCAGTGACATTCTAGCCCTGCAGCTTTCCTTAGCTTGTTTTATTTTAAATCTCGAGCCCTGGAGGTTTAGGAGAAAAGTCCAGGTGTGACCTTAGGAGTCTCAAAAAAACAAGCTGCAAATATCCCATGACCCTTTAGGATTTAGTTTAAATCTCTTGAGGATCTCACCTGGCTTTGCTGGATAGTGTGGGCTCTAAACCTAAATAATAATCATCTAAATGATAATGCTAATGGAAATGATGGCAGAGGCCTTTGGCTTGTTCCTTTTCTCTCCCCAGATATACAACAACAATAAAAAAAACTTGCATTATCATTAACAGGGATCCTGGTTTTCTCCGATTTAAAAATAATCCCCAATTTTCAGTTAAAAAAAAGTAACCCTAAATCCACACTTTTCCATGATTTAAATGAAACACCACTAATCTATAACTATCTCTTTCTCTCTCTATATAGATAGATACACATACATACATATATGTATGTATGACACACACACACACACACACACACACACACACACACACACACACAGTGGTTTCATTTTAATCATGGGAAAAATATGGATTTGGGGTTACTTTTTTTTTTAAACTGAAAAGTGGAGCTTTTTTTTAAATCAGAGAAAACCAGGATCCCTGAATTAATAAGCATAACAAACACAATTAACCTTACAAGCATAATTGTAATAATTAATATTATTAAAATTGTAATGATAACTATAACAGTTGCAATCACTACTTTATTGACGATTATTACAATTGCAACCCTTATTATTACAATTGCAATGATTATTATTAGTTACAACCCCGGTTACATTAGTATTACAACTGCAATCACTTTTAAAATTGCATGCACTTCATTATTACTTAAGAACATTGCAGTTACAATGATCACTCTCACAATTGCAGCCACTATTATATTACCGTTTACCATATTATAATTGCAATGTTGGCTATTACAACTGCGACCCCTATAACAGTATTATTTCTTATCATTACAATTGCAATCATATCACTATTGTTATTACAATAGCAATTATGTTGTTGTTTTTGCTCTTAATCCGGGAAGGAGAGGAGAGGCAGCTCAAAGGAGAGGAAAGGCCACGGTTTCTAACACCCTGCAGATGCCGCCAGAGCCCCAAGGTGCCAGCTGCGATGGGGGAAGGGAAGCCAAAGGCTCCCTACCTCCTCCACTGTACTGTGGAACCTGCTCGCAACACCCACCGACATGGTTCAACCCCGGAAGCCGATCACACTTCGCGCCCTCCGCCCACCAGAGGCCACTGGAGGAAAGGAAGAGCCGAAAGCTCCGCAGTCGTGGCGGGAAAGGCCTCGAGATACCGCGAGAGCTCGGCAGGCGAAACTCTCGCGCGAGTCGGACTCTCGTATAATCTCGCGGGACTACCAGCACTCGGCCTCTTTGGCTCTGGGGCGGCACCATGGCGGTTGGGAAAAACAAGCGGCTTACTAAGGGGGGCAAGAAAGGCGCCAAGAAGAAAGTGTAAGCTGCGCGCGGTGGGCTGCGAGGAGCCCGGTGGGCTAGGAGCCGGGCGCTGCGCCGGCAGGATGGCCGCGATGCCGGGCGGATTGCGGGGGCGCCCAGGGGAAGGCGGCCGCGGCCGGGAAGAGAGCGAGGGTGGGGTGGTCGGGCGGCGGCGCGTGCGCGCTACAGGAGGGCGCTGGCCCCGCACGTGGCAGGGGCCCGGCCCGGTTCGGTCAGTGCAGAGCCCTCGCAGGGCTGTGCGTTCCAGCCTGGCCGGACAAAGTCCTGGCTTCCTGCTGCCCGAGTTAAACGCCAGCCTTGGTGTATCGCTCTAGGAGTGAGATCGTAAGCTGCCGAGTGGCACCTCACGTTAGTTCTCCCTTTCCAGAATAGCTGCGAGCCTGGCTCTTATTTTTTCTCTCCTTGTCAGCCTGCGTGAGATTGGGCCTTGCAAGTGTTTGTTGCTTTAAGGCAGGGGTGCTCTGCCCATGGGTTGGAACCAGCCTATAGAGCCATGTTATCCGGCCTGGGGGTCTCCCTGCAGATTTGGAGACTTGGTGGCCACAGAGTGGTGGCAGTTAATGCAGCCATGACTCTCTGGAGCCAAATTCCTGTTTACACGGCTGGTTCAGGCCCGTGGACCAGATCTGGCCCGCAGACCAGCCTCACACTCATCTGGCCTATTTTTTAAAAAAAAGGTCAGGCATCACTGCTTGAATGCATCTCTGACTGGAGGGGGCCTGAGCCTGCATTACTAATACGGCACTGTAAGGTTTAGCAGCTGTGATAAAGAAACATGGCCACCAAATGCTTAGACTGTACATGTTAAATGGGAGGGTATGGTTTTCTGTATATTTTTATATCTGAAAAATAAGTGGGAATCTGCTTGTTTTTTTTGTTTGTTTGAAAATTAAGGGTTGATCCCTTCTCAAAGAAGGATTGGTACGATGTCAAGGCACCAGCAATGTTTAATATCCGAAACATTGGGAAGACACTCGTCACCAGGACGCAAGGAACCAGTGAGTACTTTGTGTTGTTAAAGCATGCTAGTGCAGATAATGGAACGCAGCACAAGAATCAAAGAAGCTGGGTCGGAAAGGACCTTGTAGATCTTCAAGTCCGACCCCCTGCCTGGGCAGGAATAAAAACTGGGCGCAAATGATCCCAGCTAGGTAGGCATCAAGCCTCCTCTTAAAGACCCCCAGTTTAGGAGCCAGCACCACTTCCCTTGGAAGTTGGTTCTAGCTGCTAGCTGCCCTAACTGTGAAGTAATTCTTACAGATGTCTAATCTAAACCTACTTTCCAATAATTTGTATCCATTATTCCTTGTTATGCCAGGGGGCGCTAGGGGATACAAGGCCTCTCCCAAACCCTTCTGGTCCCCCCCCCAGTGAGTTTTATAGACTGTCACCAGGTCCCCCGTCAGCCTTCTCTTGTGAAGGCTGAACTTGTAATCCTAAGGTTACAAGTATTGGGTAACCTTAGGATTTGGGTGGAGATTTTTTAAAACTTGTTTATTAATTTTTTGAGTTTCTGATTTGGTTGTCTGCTGAAGGCCAGGCTTAAGCGCTGTCCCATTAAGAAGGAATCGGTTAAAAAAAACCAAACCCTTCTAAATAAAGTTTGGAAGGGCTCTTCATCTCTTGACATGCAAAGTTAACTGTTCGGTCCTGGTTGACAAAAACTAGTCAAGTTGTATGGAAGCATGTTGGCTGTTTTTTGGGTATTTTTATGGTTTTCTCCATTTGATTAGAGGGACCTCTTCAGATTAAGTTGCCCTAGTTGAGTTGGGTATCTGATCACCTATGACTGATGAAGTAAATCATGAGGAGTACCTGTTAAAGGTTAGCATTTTGGGTGGCAAATTACTTGTATGGATTTGAGGAAAAATAATACTAGTATTTTGGGGGAGGGGACACAGGAACTGCAAAACACCTTGTGGTCCTTCTGACTAGCCAGTTACAAGTTTTTTCATTGGAATGTGGGAGCAACAACTGCCTTCTGGGCAAGAGCATCTTGAGGCATCCTAGGTAGTGCTGAACAGTTCTCTCTGTAAATTGATGCCATACCTAGATTATTGTATTCTATTAAGGTCACCTCTGCCAGATATGAACAATGAAATTGGGAGAGCAGTCACACAACATTAGGATGGATTAAGTGTGGGTTGGCTAAGCATTTGGGAGAGTGAGAATCCTGCCAATGCTGCAATGTTGGAATATGAAGGAGGAGTATATATTATTTATTGATCACAAGTATAGTTAGTAATAGCATTTAAGGAGCACATAGTTCTTGCTCAAATGTCTCAGGAATGTGAAAACGAAGTAATGAACTAGTTCCCAAGGAAACTGAAAGTTAGAAGGAGAGGATTCCCCATCAAGGAACAATGTTGCACACAAAGGTGTGAGTGTACAAGAGTTTTTTTTGTTTGTTTGTTTTTTAAACATGGACTTTTTAATTTCAGGTCTTAGTTGTCTGTTTCTCTTGTGTCTTCACCAGACTCTGTAAAAGTAACTTGTAGAAAGACTGATGTAATGTAATGCAGTTACTAAGGGAGGCCTGTCAAATGAAGGTTCAAAACTGGATTTTTATTATTCCTTTTTAATCTTAACAAAAGATGTTATTTCATATGTATATAGAAATTGCCTCTGATGGACTTAAGGGGCGTGTATTTGAAGTGAGTCTTGCTGATCTGCAGAATGATGAAGTTGCCTTCCGTAAATTCAAGCTGATTACTGAAGATGTCCAGGGCAAAAACTGTCTGACCAACTTCCATGGAATGGACTTAACACGTGACAAAATGTGCTCCATGGTCAAGAAGTGGCAGGTAGGTAATGCTGATGTATCTGAAGTTGCAGTGGTACTATTATAGTATCAAATTGCTTCTGAAAATCATACTAGAATAATAGCCTTTACAGCCTTAATTTTGATGTTACTAGAATAATAGCCTTTATACCATTCCAAATGCTCTTTTCTGTTAAGAAATGCAAGTGACAATAATGTGTTTCTAATTAAAGTTGAGTAGAATTTCTAATCACTTTGGAGCTTGTTGTTGTAAAACTTAAAAATTTGTGGGGCAGGTGATTAACAGATCTTGAGTATTAGTTTAAGGCAGTAGTTTTCAACCCTTATCAAGTCAGGGCACCTTTTACCAACTTGTATGAATGTGGCAGTATCCCCAGTTAAGAACCATAGTTGTGCTGCCTCAACTTATCACAGCGGTTCTCGCCCAAGAGCTGCCACTGCTGCCAGATAAAAAGTGGTCCTGTGCCTTGTGTGCATCCAGACTGAAAGGGCTGGAGCATGCATGGGCTGCTGCCTCAGTAGGATTCTTTCGAAGTCCTTTTTGGAGCACTGGCTTGTGCTGCAGCCTTTTCCTGTTCAGCATCTCCTGGAAACAGGTGTACAGGTTGGGTTGAACTGTTCTATGTGCCTGTTTCCAGGAGGAGGAGGTGGGGAAGGCTGTGCAGCAAGCACAGGACATTAGGGCGCTCTTAGCTTCCTGCTGCTGCCCAAACCATGGCACCCATGAAGGGATCTTGCCCTAGTTGAGAATCACTGATTTAAGGAATGTTGCACTGGAGGTTCTTGGAAGCTGTGGCTGCTACTTTGGTGCTAACCAAAAGGTTGAATTGCACATTTAACTTTCTGTAGACAATGATTGAAGCCCATGTTGACGTCAAAACTACTGACGGCTATCTACTGCGCCTTTTCTGTGTTGGTTTTACCAAGAAGCGTAACAACCAGATCCGTAAAACCTCATATGCCCAGCACCAGCAGGTCCGCCAAATCCGCAAGAAGATGATGGAAATTATGACTCGAGAGGTGCAAACTAATGACCTGAAAGAAGTTGTCAACAAGCTGTATGTCTTGCTTTTTCATTTTTAATTTTGCAACTCTGTACTTTACTGGGTTTGCGTAAGTTACTTGCACTGTCTCAAAGGAAAGAGGTTCACACTTTAAAAAGTGCTAATCCTATAAGATTATTATAAGCATTTGTGTGGACAAGTAGGGTGAAAAAATGATTGCTTGAGATTTTGGAAATAATAACTGAGTGACTAAATCAGTTATTTGTTGCCCTGTAAAATGACTTAATGAAGGATGGCAGTGGATTCAACAACTTACTTTGCTTGATATTTCATTGTGAATTAAAGAATGTCTCATTCTTTTCTTCCCCTCCAACCCCACCCTTCTTTACTCTTCCTACAAAAGAAAGCTTAATTACCATTTCTCATGTGCGCACACCTATTTACTCATGCACGTACTGTGTGCAGTACAAGTTAGATTCACTGTTGGGTATATATCTAAAGTCAGAATTTAAGAAACTACCACACAGAAATCTTTTGGCAGACTTGAAAAATTTCAAAATATGAAGATGCCAGCAATTTTGCCAGAATTAGCAGTAGGTGTGTAAATGCACTCCTAAATATTTTTCGGAAACTTTTTTTTAAAGGTGAGTAGGTTGTATAGTATTACTTATTAAACCATTTGACAGAAAAGATGTAGATCCTTCCCATGAATAACTATGTAGATTGTAATATAGAATCATGAAGATGATAGTGAGCTTTGGTGTGCTGAATACTAGTCTTAATTAATTTCTATTTTAGGTGTAACACCATATATTGTTAACACGCAGTACCTAATAGTTTGAAGCTCAAATACTGAAATATTTAATTTTTTCAGGATCCCAGACAGCATTGGCAAAGATATAGAAAAGGCTTGTCAGTCCATTTACCCTCTTCATGATGTGTATGTCCGCAAAGTCAAGATGCTGAAGAAGCCCAAGTTTGAGTGTAAGTTATAGCACCTCTATGTATTAAGTTCTGATGAGTAGGACACCCCAAGGTAGTGTTAACAGATGCCAGGTTTGGTGTTCTTTGAACTGGGGGAAGTCCACAGAAGCTTCATTGTATATTTAATTACTTAAGAGTAATAAACAGCTTTTCCTTTTAGCTTTACTGCTGAAGTGTCCAAACTATAAAGTCAGATAAATAATAATTTATTTTGCTATTGTTAGAGTTCTTACTTGCACACAACTGGAAATACTGAATGTTTTGTCTTGGGAATGAATGATGACAACATGTTTCGGTCCCAGATGATACCAAATGATAATACTTTCCCATTTTCTGACATTCCCATATGATACAGGCTGTTGGTTGTGTTCGTGCAATGAGAGCAATGCAAGTAGCTGGGTTTTACAACTAGGCTCAGCTTATTTGAACCCATTAGAAAAATGAAATTGCACTAAATGGTTCTCTGTAGTTTGTTTCTATGGCCTTGTCTAAGTTCACAAAAACAGTGCAGCTCCTTTGTGTGAATACACTTGGGATATGGAGGATGTTTATTTGCCATGCTACAAATTTCTTGGAAGTGTGGTAAGGGGTAAGCATATAGGCATTCAAGCATCTTGCTGTCTGGAGTGCTGCATAGCATGGCAAGGGCCTGTACTGCTAGCGCTTCCCAGCCAAGGAGGGTGTGGTATGCAGTGATTTCTAGCGTGCTTCCCCTCAAGCCTGTGGAGGTTCTCCAAGGACAGCTGAATGCGGAGGAAAGGGCTTATGATGGCTGCCTGTGGAACTACACCTCCTGGGTCATTCTGTCCGCCACCCCCAAGGTGTGTTGGGAGTGCACCTCTTCCATTTCTATGGCCAAAAAGGCTAATCGGTTTCACTTCAGCCTACAGTGGACCTCTGCTACCTGTGGCTCCTGATCCAGATTCCAGACCCCATAGGAAATAATTTTAATGAAGTGAATCTTAGTTGATCCTCTTAAATAAGTGGAGGGACAAACAGAATAGGTCTGTAGTTAAGCTTTCTTTCCAGAAGGACAGATCTTGATAAACTAAGGACACTAGTTAGTGAAGTTGTGGAAAAACAGGAGTTCAGGGAAACAAATGCAGAAAAGATCTAATATGTTAAGTCTAGTGTTGGCAGGTCTGGCACGTGCTGTACTCCTGCCAGCATGGTCGGAGCCTGCCACTGCTGCTCCTGAGCTCCTTCAGCTTACTGTGCGGGCAAGTGCCCACATAGATTGTCTGTCATTGATCACATTTGCCTCTCAAAGGTTTCAAGTTCAAAACTGCACAAGAAAAGCCCCTTGCTTGGTGCCCTTTCTCTAGCTTGGCTTGTTGGGTAATGGCAGAGATGTTAATATTGTAGGAACAAGTATTTTTGGCATGGCAGGAGCAGGAATCCACCTTGGAGATCCTGTGTTGCTTGGGCAGAAAGGACTTCCTCTTGCCGACAAGGAAACAGGAAGCAGCGCAATTCTGTAGTGATGTGAGCCCAGCTCCGCCTCCCCAAGGCAGTAAGAATCATTTAAAGAGTTAACCCTTCATGGAACTACCATGTTTTAATGTAAAAACCTGCTTGAATGCCTGTATGGTCCCTTTGTACTTCACCAAAAGGGTGTATTTCAAATATATCTGCTTAAGGCCATGGGAAGCCATTACAACAGGTGTTTAGACTAGGTGTACATTAACATTCTGGTATTTTAATTAGTTCAGTGTTCTGTAGATAACATGGAATTAAGTCAGCAACTCGAGCATAACACTTGTAATTTTATTAAATATATATGTTGCTTAATAGTTAATTGCAATATTACTGCTTTTTTTTTTTTTAAGTGGGCAAGCTGATGGAACTGCACGGTGAAGGCGGTGGTGCTGGAAAGCCTTCTGGGGATGAGGCAGGCACCAAAGTAGAGCGAGCCGACGGATATGAGCCCCCTGTGCAAGAGTCTGTCTAAAAATCAAAGTTGGATACAAAAAATAAAAATTAATGTACAGAAGTAGTGCATCTGTGTATGGTAATACTAGAAACTGCTTATACAGGCTGTGGGGTATTTTTCATCATCAGTAGTGGTATTTTTGTCATGGTAATGACTGAATGTGACCTGTGCTTCATAATTGTAGCTTTCTTGGTAGAAGTGGGCTGGTCTGGAGCAGACAACTGCTTGATATACTTCTGAAATTCGTCCCTGTCTTAACTGGGCCCAAGACTTAACACATGTATGCTTCAACTTACTATTTGTAACTGTTCACTTGATAGCAGCCTTTTCCCCAAGGCAATTTTGGTGTCTGCCTATAGATGAAATGAGGTTTTAATGCCAGTTATTTTATTGTGGAAGCAAAGTTTTGTCCACAAGATTATCTAAGGGGTCTGCGAAAAATGACTAGTATAGTTCAAAGGAATGTGAATACCCACACTAACAGTTCAAAGGGATCTGCAAATGAAAAAAGGATGAAAACCACTGCCTTAAAGATTTAACAAAAATAGCCAACTTGTTCAAACTCCAGAAATAATCAGCTTTTCATTTTTCTGCTCCTGTTTGGCACCTCTAATGGGAGGTATGTGTAACACTCAAGTCATTCAGAGCTTGGAACAATGCTAATTAGATTCTTGGGGGACAAAAGAATGAGAGGGGTACAGCACTGCTTGGTAATAACTTCCTTCTGTCTAGAAGAAGAGAGTCCAAACATCTTAATGCTGTTGAAGTTAAGCATGTATGCTGTTCTATAATATAACCAGATCAGCTTCCACAAATAAGCTGGACCGAAATTATTTGTTACAGTATCTCTTACATTCTAAGGTGAACTTTTAATAAAGCCAAAAAAACCACACTCACAGTTACCATTGTTACGTTGCTGGTACATACAGCATATTAAGAATACAATGCTATTGAAACAGCCTACTCTCCAAAACCAGTTGTACTGGGGTGGCTTTGGCTGTTGTTCCTATCCACCAAATTCACTTTGATAAATAATGAAGCATAAGAGAAATTCAGACACAAGTATAATAAAAGTGGTATTTGTTGCCTAAGGATTATTTTGTTTCAAAGAGGAAGGGAGCTGAATGAATATGCTACCCTCTACAAATTTGAGGCTATCTACTGGTGATAGATAGCCTGATGTATGAAAGGTAGAACAGCAGTCTTCTTTTTGTTTTATATGAGAGCATAGAAAATTGAAGTTACTTCAAAATTTGGGATGCTGACATGTGAAGGGGGAAAAAAATGCACTTTAACCAGAAGAGCAATTGCATCGATTTGACCCGTCTCCGTGGCATCTGTGTAGCTCCCGTGCTTCTCTATACTTATAAAAGCTCCATACTTATGGTTGCATTGAACTTGCTTTTTTTGGTTTTCCTCAAGCTGTGCAGGATTTTGTGAGGGATTACTGTTAACTCCCCAATATATTGTGTCAAATATAAAAATGGATTTTTGTGTTCAAAATGAAGCCAGGATGAATCTGTATCTTTACTTTAAAAAAAAAATAGTGGGCTAGTGAAAACATCTATCAGTTGGGGTGTTATCATTGTTTTCAGGTATGCCTAACAGGATTTTTGCAGCATAGGCCTGAAAGGCACATCTAGGACCCTTTAAGTCCAGTCCCCTGGAATCATTTACCCAAAAAGTCCTAATGGCTTGCAATGAGGATACCTGCAATTTCAATACCTTTCACACCACAGTCCACAGTAAAAAACAAAGTTGCCCTGCTGTGTGTTACAGGTGAAAAAGTAGGGGAGGCAAAAGCATTTTTGTCCCTTGTTTTTTACCTTATCAAAATCTAGACAACCATCAGGCCAAATTAACATCTCATGAGATCTACAGGTCAATTGCCCAATCAGATTCCCCAGCTCTCCTCATGAAGAGGTGTTTGCAAATCTTTGAACAGCTCAGAGTTCATGCTTCTGTCTTTCAAACACAATCAGGAAGGGAAACATTTTTCTTAGCCCAGCAGTTGGAGCTAGTGTTGCTTAATACCTAATTCCCCAGTTACTCTTTATTTTGGAAGAGGGTTTGCTGGCTCTGGACTGCTAGAGTATACAATTTCTATCATAATTTAAACATACAAAAAGAGGATCAAATTACTATACCAACTATACCCTGCAAAATAAATCTTGGGTGTTTGTTTTAACTGAGATCCCTGTTGAGATTGTCCTAATATCAAATTACTACCTGAAGGCACGTGTAGACCATATGTTTTAAAATGGGAATGGAGCAAAACAGGCCTGAAAGGAAATAACCAACTTATCTTTGCTCAACCATATTGTTTGGCGCTCTCCTACACGCAGAAAGCTTCCATTGAGAAACCACTCAAGGGGCATAAATGATTTGAGTGAATTCTGCTGGTTGATTTGTAGATGCATTTTCAAATGGTTTGAAAGGAGGGCAGGTGAGTCTAAACTATAAACACTAGATGGAGACAACTGGCTCCTGCTTCCTGCCAGTGGACACTCATAGCATTGTAATACTTGCTTCATGTATTGTGTAAACCAGGGGCAACCAGCAGTCTGAGCAGGTAGGTAATTGCAGCAGTTCCTGGATTGATTCAACTCAAGCTTAATTGTTAAGGTCACAAGTGCTCACAACCCTTTTGAGATCTGCATTAGGCACCTGAGAGATCCATAAACCAGCCTGCTGAGAGGCTACAAATGGCAGCTCATCATAAACAGAGGGCAGGGTTGTCAATCCTGCCCTTTTCTAGGAGTCAGTCACCTTGGTCGGAGCTGCACAGAGGTGCTTCTCTACTGAGTCTTTGTAGCTAAGAATCTCCTAGGTGTCAGTTTCAAAACAGGAGTAAGATGTTATCACCATTTTGGCCAACAGTTCAGCATCTGCAGCAGTCCTTCAGACTGAAGACCATGTTACATTCACTCTTCATGTAAGATCTAAACCCGCTTCTCAGGAGAGTGCCATAACCATCAGCAGGGTGTTTTCAGGTGCACTACTCCCATTCCTCCTTGTTTGAAAGGGTTTGAGGTAATTAAATGTGCATTAATCCATCAAGAACAAGAAAGCTAGGATGACTAGTTTTTAGTCATATTTGTACTCTGTCTCTTTTTCAGCCCATGTGTTGTACAGACACTAAGCACAGTTCCATGTGCATACTTCATTAACTGTATTAGCATGTAGCCCCCTGCAGTGGCTGCAATTATAGTAATATAAAACAACTGTTAGTAATGTAATTTCCTTCGGTCCTGCTATAAGGCATCTTTATAGTGGCATCTTGGTTTCTGTAAAGAGGAAAATCTCGCTAACTGAAATGATGCTGATAAAAAATGGGTGTAGATGAGGTCTAGAATTGGACAAAACAATAGTTTTTATTACAAACTTAAATTAATTTGGTTCTGTGTATTTAAGGATGTTTAACCAATCCTCTCATTTAATCATAATTGCTATGTTATAAATGTAAACACAAGCAATTGCAACCCAGACATAAATATAAACATTTATTGGTTTAAATACAAATTCATACTGGTACCATAATGCTGAAGACATTTCATGGATTTAGAGAATTTAAAAAGGCTTATTTTGTACTCTACTCATTGTATATAAAATTTGATGGAAAAAGCTCTTCTGTTTATGAAGATATTCATTTTCAAAGTTGGCAGTTTAACAAAAATGCTAAAAACCTAGAGATTATGAAAACCACTGTAGTATATTTAAGGACTCAGTCCCTATTTCACTTTCAAGACAGTATAACCTCTTAATGTATTTGGGATTTGTTCAGGAACTTCCTCGTCTATTCCACTGAATCATATCTTGCATTCAATAGGCATTTCAGATTATTCTCTGTACAAAGTTCTGTGGTCACAGAGGTTAACACAGAATGTTTTTTGCAAAACAGATCAGTATATATTAATTTAATTTAAACAGCAAAGATAAAGGAATTTCTTCAAGTTTTAAGACCAATCTACAAACCTACAATAATGTAAAGAGCCCTTAGATGGTGCTGTTGTTCTGAATTTGCAGCTTCCAGCAATTTTTACCATCTTTTCACAACTTAGATATTCAAGGTGTTATATGAAGCTTGCTATAAATTTCCACATTTTCTATTCAAAGTTACAAAATAAACTATCAGCCTTGCCTAGATGTACATAAGACATGTAAGAGATGTTATACTTAAATCTAATTAGAAAATGGTAGGAAAAAACCTATTAATTATTAACAACAAAGCCAAAATAGGAAAAACACCTCACCTGTCCTCCTTTTATGTGTAATTATAAAGTCAACATTTGCTTAAAATCTTTGTATCAAAACTTTAGAAAAGTGGCAGTCAATAAATAAGTAAACATTGCACACTTGAAATCCATCTGCCTCCACAATGATTCAGCCACCGTTTTGGAAGAATTAAATTGTATCTTTGTACCAAGTTAATTTCTATAATTTGTCACTTATAGGAGGCTTCTTAATTGCAGTTGGCACAAAAAGCCACAGTGAAAGGTATTCATTTTGTTTAAATCTTTGATTCAGGAGCTGCACTATAACGAAGACAACTTTTTGTCATTGCTTCCCCCCCACCCCACAAGAAGACAAGATGACCCTTTAAGGAAAGAATGTGTTCCGCTTGAATATAATGGTCACTAATTTTTAAAAGGAATTACATTTTAATTCTGTGCTGTCAGATTTAAAACCATGTTCTCTCCATTCAAGGGGACTGCCTGATTCACTCCACGATGTGTCTTGGCAAATTTAACTTAAGACACCCCGTTCAAGGCTTAGGTACAAATAACCACAACTGGGCATGAAAATGGTGATTTTTACATCTAAGTAAGTGTACATAAAGATGGCAGTTACATATGCAATTAATACAATAAAGAGTTCTGAGTTGGTGTACTGGTTCCTCAACTTATGAGTGTTGTTAACTTCTGTCTCTCTTTGAGATGACTTACGACTAACCTTCTTGGGTTGTTAAACGTCTGTTTCATTTTAACATAATCTATATATAAGCAGAGGCCAAAGACAAAAGATCTAGACTCAATTCTCTGCTCATCTACTGATCCACTGTGAATTCAACTTCTTGAATTTATACGATGGACAATGCTGGTCAGTGTTATATAGTTCTTTTTTCACAAAACACCTAAAGATCTTACAGGCAAGTATTTTCAGTGCTTCATTCTATTAGACTGAACTGTGATTTGCAGATCATGTCCATTGTTATAGTATCTCAGCATTCCTTTATGGCTATGCCAAAGCAACCTGAGATGAGAAGTAAGCGTGTCACCAGGGTGATAATTCAGACTTCAAAACATACTGAAAAGATTATTTTCTTTATTTGTAACCTAATTAGAGGTGTGACCTATTAATTTGTATGCCTTGATGGGCTAACTCAATTTGCCTTGTTTCCTTGTTCTTTATATTGTACAAAGGAGGGATAATTCCTCTTGTGGAACCAGGGTGCCACTGAACATGGTACAGATTAGACTGCAGCATAATTAAGATTAAATGATTTTTTTTCTTACAGTAAACAACAGTTCAAAACAGGAAGCATGTAAAACAATTTGCTTGAAGACTTGTTTTATATTAACCCAGAACTAACCAAAGTGAAATGTTCTGGAAAGAGTTTACATCTCTAGAAGGTTCTTTGAAAAGTTGCCTGTACCTATGTATAATCTTGCCTGATTTTAGTTAATGTAATTCGACTGCTACAATTAGCTCTCTTCCTGTTAGTAAGTTATCTTTCTTCAACCTGTTGGGTTAATTTCTCTTGGTATCTTCTACTTTCTGTAAGTCTTGACCGATCATTTATGATGGAGATGTACAATATACTATACCTTATACCTTACTTAGATGATTTGTAGTGGTTATATCAATAAGTTATTCTCCCTCAATTAAAGGGCTGTGTAGTACTCCTATTGAAATGAAGCATGTACAAGTAAGAAAAGAAGAATGGCAGCTTGATGTTTTTCAGCTTTCTTGCAATTTAGCTCAGATCTGTTTTGGTGGTTCAGTAGGAAAGGGTGGATTTATTTGCCAATTTCAAGCAGTGCAGAGTTTGAATGTTCAGCTGAAATATAGTTGGCATCATGTTTGTATTTCTACTTGAGAAGCTGAAAATGGAGTATAAATTGGACAAAGTGAACAATACATGAAAGAACTCAGTAAGTAAGAAAGAACAATCTCTCAAACTTTCTGTGAATAAAATGAGAGACTCGCACTAGTTTTATTAACGCCCCCCCCTCCAAAAATCAAAACAATGTTTAAGTCCCTAGTTTCAAGAAGAAAGGAACTAATAATTGAAAATTTCTTGATCTCTCACTGCTCCTGCTTATTTAGGGGTTGGGTTTAAGAACAGAACATCCTATACATAGAAAGGCAACCTCTCTACAGACAGCATATAGGATAAATAAGTCTTTGATACTTCTTTGCTATGGGATAATAAATAGTATCTTTTCTTCCCTCTCAATTGTAAAAACAAGTGGTTTCCACTGCTGCTGCTTCAGAGGATATAAACTCAAGCTGTCAGTGAAATCTTAATATTAAGATTGTTATACATACTGAACATGTAATAATAGTTAAATCTGCAAGAACATATCTTTAAAAAGCCTAATTTATACAGATTATAAAATAAGATTAATTTATGCAGTTTATATGCAAGATAAATTATACCAATTCAGGCAACTACCAGTTACTGTACCATATTTTATTGCCCTAGCTGGGGCAAACTGCTTTATATCCATTCTTTTGGAGCATTTGCCAAGTACAACTAAGTAAACTGTGTCATGATGGTGTAAACTGTTAGTTTTTCCTAATACTTTTGCCTTCAGGAACCTCTGATGTATAATGTGACACTGTATATTTCTCTTTCTGGAAAGATAGTGCAAAACAGTATTTGACAGTCGCAGCATTAAATCAGATAACTTCAGTGGTGTTAACTCTGAAGTATCATGTGCCTTTGTGCTAGCTAGATGACCATCTGCTGCCTCTACATATAGAAGCAAAGCTGGGTTCCAGCCTCATGATTTTACAGAATTTGCACAAAATTCTTGGGAAATATTCCACGTTTTCCTTTTATTTCTCCACTCATCCAGTCTTCATCTACAGATTCCAGCTCTGTTATCACATCACCTGCCTATCAGAGAGAGAGCACAACATGAATTGAAATGATTATTTGCAGAAGCACTGAGCACTATCTTCATGCATAACGCATCTTGAGTTCCTGGTAAGTACCTTTTTTCTTTCAATAAAACATTATTTATAAATATAGAAACAGAAAAATCTGTACACCCTTGTAACTAGCTTTTATTTTAAGATTAAATGTAGTAAAAGACTTGGCTTACTTTTTCATGCTTGCAAGTACTTCACTTTTCATATGGCAGTTTTCCCTAGTTCGATTGCCTGCCATTTTCTTACTTTAATTGCAGGGCCTGGAGTCCTGAGGTATATCTAGCTCAAAGCCCATATTGGCACATACTCCAACCAGCTTTTTTTTTTGGCATCTTGGGATATTCAAACATATTCTCTGTTAAAGTTTTTCGTCTACTAAGTGGAATCCCTTCTTTGCATCTTGGTCACAAACCAGTAGTGTCTATTCCTATGTCCGGCCCTGATGTGCACTCTTTGAGATTCTTCTCATGCTATGACATAAAGTAGGGCACACAAGTCTGTAAGTAGCTGGCTGTCTGAAGGAGAAAATAACACTGAATCTACTATTCCTTGTTCCCATTTTCATCTCGCTGTGCCTTATCCTATATTTAAAATATTCTCCCATAACTTTGTCCTTTCTTCCAGTATACAGATTCCATTTTTGTTTCTCTTTATACTCTTCTGCTTTAGTCTCACAAGATCACAAAGTATACTGCTTAAATGAATTCTGCTTTAGCTGTTAGTTTTAGAAACAGTAAAGAGTACTTTTGAGATTACTATAGTCCTACTTTGGATGTCCACTGGAAGCTTAAGTTTTGAAGTCTTCTAAAACCTAGGTCACTAATTCTACTATAAAGTAGACCACTGCTGTTTGCCTCCACCTTCAAACTGAGCTGCTAGATTACCAAGGAAGCAGTACATCATTCGATTTTTCTGTGACAACAACATGCTGTGCTGTCAAAATTTCTTAGGGATCCAAAACTGTCTACTGTCTGCATTTTAAAGATCCACAGTATCTAGTTGCTGATACTATTATTACCTACCTGTATTTCATCTTGTCCATTTCCTAGTCTGAGTTGCATGAGTTCTACTGTCCCCTAATTTGATCAGTTTAATAATTGCTCATAAAACCAAAAATTAATGCATAATGAATGCATCAGTTTTGAGAAGTATGACAAGAAAACAGGATGAACTAAGTCAAAGAGCTGGACCCTTCCCTATTCCTTCCTCTCCTTCCCCTTTCACACTTGTAACTGTAGTTCAGTTTGTCAAATTTATGGTTGATAAAGTGTCTGAATAACTTTTTAGAAAGAGGTGCTAATGTTTATTCCAATTTATTTTGGAATTTTCTGAAAAGCATCCCAGTAAATCAATGTACATTCAGGAACAAATCCCAGTTTGAATAAGTGACATCCTTTCATGATTTATGTCACACAGTAATGGGTCGTATTGTAATATAGCCCTTCTCAGACATCTGAGAAGCTCCTCTTTTAATGCATATTTTATAACACGATTTTATCACATTGTCAGTGTCTTGAAGCCACTGATCCATTTTCAGCAAAATAACCTCTAGGGCCTTAGACTCAGTTGTTAAGGGCTGTATGTCAAGCATACCCTGTGGACTGTCTTGTTAGGACTTCAGGTTCCCTGCCAACAAAGCTGAAGCTTGGAGATTCTGGTCCTAGCTGAAGCTCTGCTTCATGGCAGAGACTGTAGAAGCTCTGAGAACCTTGGCTAAGTTGAAGTCAGCTACACTTCACATTCCCTCATGTGGTGCTAGGAACCTGAAAACCTCAGGGCTTTTAGCCTTCCAGCTGTGGACCTAGGAGTTTGAAAGTCCTACCAATTGGCTTCCAGGGTCCACAGGTCCAGCCAAGAACTCGAAGTCTGTTTGCAAGAGAGCCCAATAAAGACTAAAGTGCCAGTCCCCAGAGTACAATACAAAACCAGAGTTAGGCACTGCAAAAGGATGATCCAGACAGACCTGAACACGGAACAGCAAGCTGCCTTAGAGCAGTTCATGTAGGAACTACTAACTGGAGGGACCTTCTACTGAGTTCAGGTACCTGCTAAACTCAGCTGCTGAGCAGAAGTTGCTTGGACTGCAATTTTGGACTCTAGGGGCACATCCAGACAAATGTACATGTGTGTTTCCCCAGAGATAAACAGCAGCAGTGGCAAACAGTTGTGCTGCTGCTACTTGTCCTGAGCACGTGTTCATGAATGCTCATGAACACATGTTCTGGTGTGTGGCAAGTTGCCCCAGGGTGGGATAGGGGAGGCTGGGGCCAGCACTGGGGTTGGCCTCAGCAGCCTTACCAGGGGGCTTCTCATGGCTCCAGCAGTGGTAATCTGGTGTGTGGAGCCTGGCTCTGGCCAGCCAGCCAAGCTGGCCCCAGTTTTGGGCGGCACATGCTGCTGCCACATGCACCACTCCACTTTTTTTTCAGGTGTGGGGTTTTTTTTGACACAGGGATCTCCCAGTGTCAAAAAAACCTGCCACTGCAAATTAGCAGCATGGTGAACACCTACATGTGTGGCATGTGCAATTTGCAGCACTGCAGATGGGTCTGCAGCACCACATACCGCATGTGCACACTTATCTGGAGTGCCCTTGAACTTCAACCTTCCTGGCTTAGGTGCTCTAAGCTAGCTTTTGCATTTACCCCAAAGTTCCTCTGAACTGCCATCCTATTTTGGCACTTGCTCTATTGTAACTCAAGGGACCAGACCCTATGGTACAGCAGGGACTTCTGCAACATGCAACTGACACAAACCATCAGAACCAGCCATGCCAAAGGATCCTGCTGTGGTTCAGGCTCACACTAATAGTTTCTGTACCAACTCATCTGCCATTGTCATAGTGACAGTACAGCACAAGTCCCTAGAGGCTGCTGATAACTTTCTTCAATGTTTACCATGGCACAGGAAGCCTGAAAAACAGGCTTTATGCCATTTGTGTGTACTTACTACCTTCCTACTCCAAGTCCCAGATTTATGGTTAACTTTTTTGGGGGGGAAAGGTTTGCCTTCCCTAGTTCTGGTCCTTCTCATTCCAGTCCTGTTTCTCAGGTAGACAAGACCAAACTTAGTATCTTCATGCCTGTGCACTACCTAATCTCAAGAACAAGGCTGGCCTTCTACCCTTTAACTCAAACAGTTCTAATGGAAGCTTACCTTAAAGGAAAGCTCATCCTCATTTTCTCCTTGAAAGTCATACAAAGCTTTGGCTTTTCCTTTCTTCCGTCCTACAGACTGTGATGACTTTACTCCTCCTAGAACATGAACAATGGACAAGTTACTTGAAAATATCTGGTTAAAACACATATTTTGAAAGAAATCTCAGGACAACCCCCCCCACCCCACACACACCTTTTCAGTGATTGGTGCATCCTCCCTCTCTCTCAACTTGCAAGTATCAGAAAACACCTAATTATTAGCTATGTCTAGACATTGGGATTAACTGTTTTCCTTTCCTTTTTCATATCCTTGTGTGATGAGGTATTAGCAGAATTTGCAAAATTATTGGAATCTGACAGGGCCTGTCAGCATTTCTGCTATGGCCTCGAATTTGCAACCTTTGGGCTGTTAACTGTGAAGCTTAGACCCTGCATCTATCACATGCTAGTTTGATGGACACCATGGGTGACTGGTGCCTCCTCATCCTGGGAGGGGCACCAATGGCTGATCACCGACTAGGTGGGTCCCAGGTGGGAAGTGACAACAAAGGCTGAGTTTAGAGCCGGTCAGACTGCTCACCTACGAAACACACTTGACCTAGTGGGGTTCTACAGGACATTGGACTTTACTTAGCCTCCAGATAGGAAGAGCTCAAAACTGCAGTGTACACAAAAATGGAGCGAGCAGTAATAGCTGGAGTGTTTTCTGGGATTTGCCTCATCTTTAAAATAAAACACAAATTAAACTGTTTAGTCAGTCCATAGTTGACTATATCAAAATGACATATTAAAAGCTATGTAAGCAATACTGTATTTATTTTACTTCTCTGAAGGAAAGGCTTTACTATTCTGTTAGTATTAGCCGTGTGAAACCAGCACCATTTGGGAGAGTGCACTGGATTATTTTCTGGCTCCTACTTCACACACCTTGTGTGTATCCCTTAATTTGGAGATAGTTGAACTGAATGGTGGCTAAGTCCTCAGTGTAGCTATGCTGATTCACAGCAGCTGAAGACCTGACTCTGTGCCTTTAATTACACCTGTGAGGCCCCAGTGAAAGCTCCTAGAGCACAGGTGTAAGAGAGAATTTAATTTAAAAAGAGTTATTACTTTTCGTGCCAGAAATAACCTGGCTTTGCTCACAGGTTCAAATATTATTTTGCTGTGTGTGGGTAACACTTAAACAATGTAAGAATTAATTGAGCATGAAATGCTTTCCAGGTGATAAAGATTAGCTTCAATTGTGAAGTAAACTGGAGCAAAATTCTGCTCCCTAAGTGTGTCTCTTCAGCTTAGTGATTACTGTTCTGTGCAGTTATCTGGTTCAAGATTTGGCTTGACCATTTTGGTCAATGGTGAGTGACTATAACACACAACGTAACCATGCAGAATACTATACCTGGATAACCGTTGTTCTGTAAGGTTCTGTAAGTAAGGTTTATTCATTGTTTCCACTCATTTTTCTTTCTATACAATTCTACTTTTTACACTTGTCTATTGCCCTAGAACTGAACTATGAAATGACTGGAATTTTCCAATTCAAGTAGCATACCTGAACAGTTCTGAACAAAAACTGCTGGGAAAATCCCTTCCCTTTCATTGAGTCTCCCTCTGTACCACTGAGAATCCAGGCGCTCTATTATCCGGATACAATCTCCCTTTTTAAAGGGTAGGTCCTCATCAGTTTCTGCTGTGAAGTCATGAAGTGCTTCACACCACTCTCCAGATAGTCTGTTATTCTATCAAGGAAAACATAATTGTGAGACTTGGTAGCAGCAAACATGAAGTTCATTTTAGAACACAGGCTTGGGGTGAGAAGGAAGGTGAATTCACTCATGTGAATATTGTCTATAATCAAAGTTTTTTTTGTTTACATGCTTCCTTAATTGTTTTACTATGCACTAGATTAGGGTTAATTGTTTGGAGCAGGGTGGGGTGTAAAATAATCCTGGCTAGTAAAGAACAAAGAATACAACGTGAATCCACGGATTCAATTTAACCACACAAGCTTCTTTTCCTGGCATTTTTCTTTAAAAGCTTATCAAGCACATTTGGAATGGAGCTTGAGTGTTTGCTTTTGTAAGGGCTCCCTGTTTTTAGAGGTTTTGCTGAACAGATAGCATGGTTCACCAAGTCACATAAGCAGTGATTCAACTGAATTAGACCTCATGCCCTACCTCATCTCTACTTTTTTTTGAACTAAGGCGTGTCAACCAGTCTGCAGGATCCATTTCTGTGGCATGTATGTCATAGCCAGAATCTAAAAAACTAAGTCTTTATTTAAAGAATAAGTTATCTAACTAGTTGATCACCGATTATTTTAGAGGATAACTGGAGGAAGGGACAGCTGTGAATTAATGCACGGGGAGAAATAGAGGAAAGGATAGAAGAGAGTGCAACAGTGAAGAGGGAGAGAGAAAAGGGTGGGGGGAGGGAGCTACAAAACACAAGAACAGTAGAGGTCCAAAAAAGGAACAGGCTTCCAGTCTATGAAGAATGTCACAGTAGTGCACTTGCTCAGCAACACCTAAATATTTAGTTATACCAAAAGCCCCTATTTCTCTTTATGTCCCTAAAGACCTAATAATGAAAGCAGTAGGCATCCGCTATACTTTAGAGCAGTGGTTCTTTTTTGTACCAGGACCTATTTATAAACATCAGTGGCCAGTCCTGACCTGCTGCCCCCCACACCAAAGCCCCAGTCCCTTCTCCCCCGTGTGGGGGGAGGGGTGTGGGAGAGCCTGAAGCAGTCCCTCGCAGGTTGGAGCTCTGCCAGCCTGCAAGGAAAAGCCAGTTTCCTACATTTTTCTCCTTTAAAGAAGAATCTATTTTTAAAGCTTGTTCACAACCCTTTCATATATTCTTACAATCCACTTGCGACCCACGGCTTGAGAAACTGCTGCTTCAGAGGGATATAATTCAGCCCTCAGCCCTTAAGCAAAGAAGTCAGACCTGTCCCCCCCCCCCCAAATTACTTTGATGCTTATTTCAACAGTTATAAAATAAACTTAATATTTGCAGCTGTAGTATAGAAAAACATTTAAGTCATTATCACAGAAACAGAACTTCCTCCCCAATTTGTATGGGGTTAATCTTTTTTCAGATTGCACATGCCCTCAGATTCCTCCCCCTGCTTAAATGTGATCAGGAGCAGGGGATAGGAGCAGCAAGAAAAATTGCCTGTTTGTCAGTGTAAATTTAATGATGACTAAATGAGACCAGAGCAGCTCAACAAATCAAAACAGACTGAACAAAAGAAATTGCCTAAGTAGAAGAAGGAAAAACTGAAAAACTATTTGCTGACTGCTAATAAATCTCATCAATTTTGATTAATAGTAACTTAGGTTTCTTAAGTAATTATTCCACAGAATACACCAAGAAAAAATCAATTAACACCCACAGAATGTTCAATAAGAGTTATGCAGCTTAATCTCACTATGCATCATTAGGGGAACAAGCCTCATACAAATTTTGCATAGTCTATCCAATTACAATAGCCTACCTGAGAAAGAGAAGCAGAACTCTCCCTCTTCATTGGTGCTCCCACACCTACATAATAAACACGAAACAGGTGAAATTGTGGAACATTTGAACATTCAGAATGGCATGCAAGATGGATGCAGAGATTGTCTGTAAAAAAGATGTGCTGATGAAGAACAGCATTTTCAGAAGTTTTACTACCCTAGCACCAATTCCCTTCAAAAGCACCAAACGTAATTTTCCAGTTCTTGTGTTTGTCCTGTTTCACTTTTCACCTCATCTCCAAGTTCTTTCCTTACTTTTTTCAAGTTCTAACTCCTTAATGTCTGATGTAGGAAATCATAGCGATTGCAGGCACTACAAATGGTATACCTGTTTACACTTACAGACTGCTGATATACTTGTACCTAATCCAGGCAGGTCTTCAATAATTTCCACAAAGTTCAAAGGGAAGATTCCAGATGCACCTTTCAGCTCTCCTTTGGCCCATTCTTCATTTACATATTCTTTAAGAATTATTATTTCACCTTCCACAAAACTTAGCTCATCTTTCTGATCTCCAATATATTCAAATCGTGCAATACACCTCGGCCCCCTGCACAAATACAGATAGTTTTTTGTACATATTTATTTTAGTATTTTGCATATTGCACCACTCTTCCTGATCAAGCACTAAGAACATGTTGCATAAGATTTTGCCAAAATTTTTCAAAATGAGTACCAAATGTTTCCACTGAGGCAGACCGCAGTAAGCAAATGCTGCCCTAAAAAGGGTCCAAACCTTAGGTGCATACGCATGTACTAACTTTCTGACAGTTCAACTTAACTGTCAGAGCATACACGTGTATGTGGAATAGAGTGTATGTGTATGTGGAGTAGAGTCGGCTTAAATGCGGCACAAGACAATGCACCTCCAAGGTGTATTATTTTGAGCTACATTAGTTAAGTTGACTTAGCTCACAAGATAACTGCCACTGTGTCATGGATACTCTGTGTATACTCTGACATGGCTTAAGTCGGTTTAGTTAAATTGCCTTATTTTAAGTCAGCTTAGTATGTGTGTACAAACCCTTGAGACCAGCTACACTGTTCATACCACACCTCCAAATGAGCAAGGGGGTAGAATGGTGATGCAGAGACTTTTCCATCTCATTAGGTTTGCATAGCTGAAATCTGGTTCAATAAAGTACTTCTAAGATAAAAATAATTAAACAACATTCTAGTAATGCTTTTCTCCACCTACAGCTGTGTGAAATCTGACTGATGGACTTTTAAAAAAATTTTTTTAGTTGGATAGTAATGTAGTCCATCTCCAATGGGGGGGTAAAATTGGAAATGGCTGCAATCAAATTTTTATTTAGGCTGTTTTGATAGTTAAGGCATTGTCAAATCCTACTAGCAAGTAAGTTCTTCCCTCCAGAAAAACCCTAAAAATCTTGAAAATGCATTAGGAGGTTGCACATCAGAAATGCCAGAAAGCATTCCTTCCACTTCCTTTGGCTGGATCATCTGAACCCTGGACTTCAGCAAGGCCTTTGACACCGTCTCCCATCCCATCCTCATTAAAAAACTAGGCAACTGTGGCATTGATGCCTACACAGTCAGATAGATTGCAGATTGGCTGAAGAGTTGTACTCAGAGGGTGGTGGTGGACGGGTCATATTCGACCTGGGGAGAAGTGGGCAGCGGAGTCCCCCAGGGCTTGGTCCTTGGGCCCGCACTGTTCAATTTCTTTATCAGCGATTTGGATGACGGGGTGAAAAGCAACCTGTTTAAATTTGCTGATGATACCAAAATTGGGGTGAGGTGAACACGCTAGTAGGGAGGGAAAGACTGCAGCAAGACCTGGGTAGGTTACAGGGGGGGCTAACAAAAACAGGATGCGCTTCAATACTGACAAGTGCAGGGTGATGCACTTGGCCAGTAGTAACAGGCAGCACGCTTATGGGAAACTCCCTTCTTGAGAGCACGGAGGCAGAAAGGGATCTTGGAGTCATTACTGACTCCAAGATGAACATGGGCCGACAATGCGAG